CAGGTAGTAGCCTATCATCTCTTCGTGGAACTGGTGCCGGTGGCTGGTGAGCAGCAGGCCGGCGAAGATGAACTTGCGCTCGCCCTGCATGGCGGCGCGCAGGATGTTGAGGCTCAGCTTCACGTCCGTGCTGTACTTCCAGGCGTCGCCCCGCTGCCCGCCGCCCTTCTCGGCCGGCGACGCCCCGGCCGCCTTGTCCGTGGGCGACGGCGTGGTCTTTTCCGACGGAGACGTGCTCGCCGACGCACCCGATTCCTCCTTGCTGCCCTTGCGTGACTTGGTCTTCTTCTCCTTGCTGCGCTCGGGGGCGTCGCCGTTCTTGCCGTTGGCGGAGTTAGCGCGGCCCATTTTGCCGTGCACGAGACCTCCCAGGCCACCCATGTTTTTCTTCAGCTTGATGCCCAGCGTCTTGCTGAAGCTGCCCAGCTTGTTGGCCACGGAGTCCGCGCGGGTCTTGTCCTTTTCCTTGCGTTGCTTCTCTTTCTCTTTGTCTTTGCCATTCTTGCCATTATTGCTGTTGGAATTGCTGCACACCGAGTCGCGGTCCGAGTCCAGGGAGTCGGCCAGGGACTGCACGTCCTCCCCCACAGAGGCTGTTGGGGATTCCGGCTGTGCCAGAGGGGCCTGTTGGGGGTGGGGGGAGAGGAAGGTCGAGAAAGGAAGAAGGTTAGAGATGAGCCATCTCACGTGGGTTCGACAAAGGTAGACCATCCCAGCCCCCAGGCTGCTGTGTTGGGATCTCACTGTCCCATCCAGCATGCCTTTTTGGTGAGCTCAGGTTGCTGGTAGCCTGGAACTCCGAGGCAGGGATTTTGGGCAAGGTGCAGATGCCCACAGCCCCGGGGCCTCTGCACATTTTAGAATCATCATGCCCAGACTCTGCCCTTCTAGCCCTGAGGAAGCTGGTCTACGACCAGACCCAGGTCCTGGCCGGCCTCTGTAGACTTAGAGGCCTTCTGGTAAGGATGACACTTCACCTGCGCCTGTAGGTGTCTCTCCTACAAAGGTGTCTTGCCTGTTTACTACAGACAGGGGACAGACACTTTGACCTTACCTTAGAACAAATACCCCCTTAGCAGTTCGGGTCATGACCAATCTCTTTACTCTAGGGGTTCCTTTCTCGGATTGGCAATGTGGTGTGCTAAACTGAGGATTCTGAAACGGGACCTGGGCTTAGCAGGAAAAACGTTACCGTTCCCAGAAAAGTTCTCGGGTGTGAGGAGGGGGCATCTCTGTGAACACCTTGGATAAGGCTCACTGTCAGGAAGGCAAGGCAGGTAGGGACACCTGGTCCAGGACTATGGGGTAGGTGGGGAGCCTGAGAAAGGAGATGAATGCATGCAGAGGACCTTGTGGGAGATTCCTCCTTGTGTGAGGAGAGAGAATTCTGACCGCATCATTGGGTGAAGACCAGGGATCTCACACTAGCAGCTGAGTGGCAGGAACTGGTGCCCACCTCTGAATGGGCTTTTCCTGTCCTTCAGGAGAGGAGCCTTGGAGAAGGCCCCATTGTTCCCTCATTTCAGTTTTGTCCCCTCCCTTCCCAAGCAGGTCCAAGACACCTCCTGCAATCAGATCACCCAGAAGAATCAGGAACCAGCCCTACCCACTTTATATTCTGAAATTCCTTCCTGTTCCCACTCTTTCCTGGGTCTGGAAGGAGCTAGAGGTCTCAACAGGATTTGTCAGTGACACAAAAGGACAGAAGCTCAGGGGTTTGGCCCAGGAAAGGGAGGTGTGCTTGGTGCTGGGAGTGCCCACTGTTTGGCACCCAGTGAGCAAGGAACAGTGGCTCAAATGCCCTGAGGCTGGAAGTGTTCTTGCCAGGCCCTGCATCTGACACTGTGGCCACCATGGCTTGGCAGGGAGCCCTGCTCATTGCCTTGCAGAGCTGTGTCCTAGCCCAAGAGCCTCCTGATTTCTAGACCTACAGCTGCTGCCTTCACACCATATGTGTGTGCTGGGAAAGAACACCTGCAGCAACATTGGTAGAATCCAGGCAGTTGACAGGTCATTGTAGAGGTTAAGAGTCAGGACTCTGGAGCCAGACTGCCACCAGCTGTCCCTTGTGTCCTCAGTAAAATGCGATATCAGTACCTGCCTCCGGAAGCCCTATGAAGATGGCATACAGGTAAAGGCTGATGTATGAAAACATCCTGAACAGTGCCTGGCCTGTCCTGGCTACTGACTCTGTGTCAGGCACCACCTTAATTCTTTCCTCATGTCACTCCTTTAATACTGTAGTTTATGAGCTCCACTTCATAGCCAAGTATACTGATGTCTGAGGAGGACCAATTTGTAAGCTCTCTCTCTTTTTTACAAATCCCTTTCTTTGAGGGCTCACTACTGAGGTAACAAAAACATCAATCAGAGTGAATCGTGCTTAGCATGTGGAAGGGGGGAGAGAGCAGACCCTCCCTGGGGGGGTCTTCTTTTCCCACCGCCTCCTGGAGAACAGAAGGAGGGGGCGCTGAGGAATTGCGCGCTCTCGGTTCCCTGGCTTTTCCAAGGACCCACACACAGTTTATAATTAATTCCCCTCTGCCGCAGCACATCGTGTTCCGATGTCGGCAGAGATAGTTTTGTGTTGCGACTTGCCTACAGTTTGTTTTCTGAGTGGGTGTGTTTATTCCTTTGCTTCTGGAGAAAATAAAAGGACAAAAAACAAACAAACAAACAAAAAAAAACCACTCGAAACCACAACTCGCATACAAAACCAAACATCCCCTAACCGAGGTGCGCGCCTACGTATAGGCACGCAAGCACGCGTGCACACACGCATCAGGTAAACCCAAAACACTTCTCGCCGGGGCGGGGCGGGGCGGGGCGGGGCTGGCCGGGCGCGGCCGGGGTCGGAGGCCGGGAGGGAGTAGGTGAGCCCTGCCAGGTTTGTAGGGTGGGCCCTCCCGCCCGCGCCGGCGGCCAGTGAGAGGCCAGGACCCAGACAGCTGGTGAGGTCCGGGCGCACGCCAGGCTCACCCGGGTCTCCGAGGGGATCCGGATCCACGTCACGTTCATGTAGCTGTGCAGAAGGTTCAGCTTGGCTTCTAGCGACAGGATCAGGCTGGCGAAAGAAGAACACGGAGTGAAACGCGTCCCAGCCGGCCCGCGCTCGCCCGCACGCACCCCGCCCGCAGGCACGCCAGCTGTCCCAGGAGGAGCAAGGGCGGCCCGGCCCACGCCGGGAAACCGGCGACAGTCGGCCCTTTAGGGCGTTGGGGGAGGGGCACGGGGTAGGGGCTCACTGGGCCAGCCGGGCGTTATCGTTGTCGTCTTTGCCCCACTCCCAGTCCTTCCCGGGGTCCACTGCAAAGTGCAGAGGCAGCAGCTTGTGCTCCGAATCCGTCAGAGGGATCACGGCTGGAACAGAAGAGAGAGACGCGGTGCCAGGTGGCCCCTGGGCGGGCAGAGAGGCTCCAGGCCCCAGCAACCCCCAGGAAGCCAGGAAAGGGAGTTCCAAGACCAGGTGTCTCCTTAATTAAGGAAACCGAATGGAGACTCACAGTGCCATCTGTGCCAGCAGGAGCGTTAAGACCACAGGTGTCAAAATCACCAGTGATAGTTTAAAATACTTCGTGTTTATTGTGGACCTTGAAGAGCAGTTGGAGACCTCACCTGGACTCTGCTGACGATTGGGGTCTGTCAGAAGGCAGGTACCCCGGTTGGGCAGCAGAGGATAAAACCTATTACTGCTTCTGTTATTTCTGAGGAGGGACCCAAGCAAATTCGACAGGTAAGGTTGTTGGTTACCTCTCAGTGTGCAAATTAGACAAGTAAGGTCTGCTTGCCAATCTGTTCATTTGTGAACTCATTCAATTAAATCTGTCAGTTCAAGGAATGGATGGGGGGCGGGGAACCCAAGGATTTCGTGGCTCCTGGCCAGGGGGAGCTCACAGGTAACAATCTCATGTCAGGTGGTGGTGAGTACCCTGAAGAGTAAACAGCAGACTGAGGGGAGCTAAGGCAAGCCTTTCTAGGGCAAGCCTTTCTGAGGAAATAAGGTAGGTGTAGGCGTGTAGGCAGAAACTGCAGCGAGGAGAGACTCGCCCTCACCCAGGGATCCATTCATCACAAACACTCCCGAGTGAAATGCCCAGCTGGGGGAAGTCTTGGCCCATCTCAGGCTGGGGCGGAGTGGGGGTGTTCACAGGTTTGCCTGGATCTGCTAGAAGCTTCTGAGCTGCTGTGGGACCCAGTGCCCAGTGAGAACAGCTTGCTCCTCCCCTGGGTTTACCCTACCTCTGCCTCCTTGCTGCTCTGCCCCCGCCCCCGTACTGGTCATAAGCCTGGTGTCATTTCCCATGGTTCATGGCAAGGGTGCCACGGCAAGAACAAAAAGACAAATAAGTAAATAAAATCTATGACTGAATACCATTAATAGTGGACTTTCTAATAAAAAATTGCAAACATTGACTCACTGCTGCCCTCCAGTGTTGCTAAAGAGAAAACGTGAGCACAAATGATCTTCCACCCCCAGATAAAGCAAACACAGCTTTGCTGGGGGAGCGGGGTGGAAGGGTGACCGCGTTCTGTTTAAAGTGGCTAGAGACTGAAAGTATTGTGTTCTGGTTTGGTTGGTCAAGGACAGCTTGGTGTGCTCCAGCTACAGGCCACCGGTTCTGCCTTGACATGGCCGTGACACACAGGGTGCTCCTCCCAGGGCTCAGCTGCAGGGCAGTCACACTCAGGGAGGGCTGCAGTACCCATCCCACGGTTCCATGACTCAACACAAAAGCAGAGGTGGAGTTGGCCTAGCTTCCCATCCACTGGGCTGGGGTGGGGGTGGTAGTGGATCCCTCCCTCTGTAGACACTCGCTAGGGTACTGCACCTCCCTAGAGTGCTTGTAAAGGCACTGATTCCAGGCACCCATGCAGATGGCCAAACCAGTGTCCAGTAAAAAGACCCAAGGACTATATTTTAAGTAAGCATCCTCTGTGGTTCTTAAAATCATACAGATATGGAAAATATTGTTCCAGAACAATAATCTGTTTGAAGTAGTTACTGTGGGTAGGACTTGGGCAATTTGGGACTGGCTGTCCACTCCTTTCTCAGGGGAGAAGTGCAGTTGGGAGATGTCTGCCCAGCCATGGCTACAATTCCCAGCCCCCAGCACTTAGGAGGGAATAGGTGCTGAGTTGCACCCATGGCATGAGAGCAGAAACACTATGGGAAGTGCTGGGCAATGTGGTTAGGTGTGGGTGGTGTTCTCTCCACACCCCCACACCCTCATCCTCCTGTATGCTGAAACTTGATGGTGCTACAAGATGGCTGGGTGAGCTCCTGACTCCCCACTTGCCAATCAGGAACACCTATTTTAGACTTTATTTGCAGGAGAACCACACTTCTCTCCCTATGATTTTGGATTATGTCAGATAAAACAGCTAAAGATCCACATGCCCCTCAGCCTCTACTCCCTATCACTTCCCTACCAGGGCTTCTGGAAATTTGTACCCTTAATGGCTGGACTGGAACTGACTCCATGCGCTGCCCCCTGCTGGGCAGACGGTTGGACTCACCTGAAGGTGCTAGAGCCTGATCACCTAGCAGGGTCTTGGCAGCCTCTCAGCATGAATCTTAGTGGGGTGAGGTACTTGGAAAGGTACTAAGGACATGCCTACTTGCAAGAAAAGACACCTTCTTTGCCAGGGCTAACAAAAGGCATATTCTCTGCAGAGGGTACAGCTTTGGCCTGTGTGTGAGGGCCAGGGCTGCAAGGACCGAGAGCCCAACCCATAGCTGCACAAGCCAGGAGGACCTTGAGAACAGGCCCTCCCCACAAGCATTAGCTGCTTTAGATGCATCTGCCTCCCACTTTATACATTCACTTTCCCAATTGGAAATGGGGCCTCACCCAGGGAGATAGGTATGTAGTGATGTGGCAGCTTGCCCTCTGGTGGCAATGTCAGGAACAGCAAATGCTTTTCAAAATAAGCCCACAAACTTTTTTTTTTTTTTTCTTTGAAAAGCATGTCCTATCTTTTAACCTGGAAACACACAGCATATCAAAACAGCCTTGACATATTTTTAGTACTTATTTTCCAAAATGAATTCATACTTCTGGTTTCTGTTTCTGGGACAGCATGGTGCTATCATTACAACAACAATAACAAGCAAGACAAACTGCAGATTCACAACTTTCCTTTAATCCATCAGAGAGCAGAAGTCACAGGGAAACCAGCTAACTCCAAACCTAAGGACAGATGGGTACATACAAAGAGAAACAGACATGACTTTCATTGAGGCAGACTCAGCTGGACTACAGTAAGAAGAATTCAGCTAAAATAATTAACAAATTGGTAAAGGAAGAATGTAGCCTAGTGAAAGAATATTTAGAAGCCTGGGGGCTACAGATTATAAGGGAAATTAAAATGTACTTGTAAACCCCTCTCCATAGGACCCAACCTGGTGCTCACAAAAACACTGGCAAGAATTCTGAGAAAGCGTCCTTCGCAGACCTTTCTCTCCTGTCTATATTACAGAACAAAAGCTTAAATTGTGAGGGCAGAACACTGTTGGCTTTAGGAACTGGGGTCTTTCCTTAGTAAAGCTTGGGGTGGGAGGAGGAAATAAGAAAAAAAAATCACTCTTGTTCCCTAGGGGAGGGGCAGGAACATGTACTGAGCCCAGAAGTACATCTGGGGGAGGTTATCCCCCTTCTAAGATCCAGGGACACAGTGCCTGCCTAAGGCAGAAGCTTAATTAGAATAACAAAAACATCACACTTCCTGGTCCCACTTCCACAACCAGACTAACAAGCTGTAAGTAATAGTAGTTTAATGCTAGAAGAGGGACAAGAGTTGAGAAGAGAAAGGGTGTAGCAGACAGTGAGAAAAGTCTTCTGGCAAAACAAAAGGTATCACTAGTAAAATTTGAAGGCTGAGTACATTAAGGGTAACCAGAGCAGCAATGAAACCAAAACCTACCTCAAGTCCTGACTAGACTGATCCAAACCCCATACTAAAGACCTAGCAAAAGGAAAGGCATACTTAGTTCCAAGAATCAAAATGATATACCTCAGTCTTTATTATCCTACTCAATATGTCTGACTTTCACCAAACTGCTAGTGTAAGAAAAGATAAGAACTCCCCCCCCCACCAACATTTAATAAGATCAAGCATTTCATAGAATAAGACTCAGATATGACACAGGTGTTGAAACTGTGACATGGAATTTAGAATAATTGATTAATAAGCTGAATACTCTAATAAAAAAGGTGGATATAATTAGTGTTTAATTTCTTTCCAGCAGAGAGAATAAATGGATAAGAAAGTATCAAATAGAAATGCTGGAAATGACAAAAACACAGTAAGAGAGATGAAGAAAGACTTTGAGGGGCTGATCACTACACTTTACAAAACTGAGAAAAGAATCTGTGAACATCAAGATAGGTCAATAGAAATTACCCAAATTGAAACACAGAGAAAAAAAGAGTTGGATAGGGGGAGATGCAGAACAGAATATCCAAGAGCTGGGGGGCAATACCAAACACCATAAGATCTGTAAAAGTGAAATCTCAGAAGGAAAAGAGAGTATAAGACAAGGGATGTTTAAAGAAATAATGGCTGACAAACGTTTCTACTTTGAATGGCAAATACTACCACAGATCCAAAAAACTAAAAACAAAAACAAAAACAAAAAGAGCAGGAAACTAGCACCACTAACACCAAAAATATCCCTATACTTAGCATATTTAAACTGCTGAAAACCAAAGACAAAATCTTAAAGGCAGCAACAGAAAAAAGACATGCTACATACAGAGAAACAAAGATAAGAAATACAGCAGACTTTTCATGCTGAAACAGGTAAGTCAGAAGACAATGGAGTGACATCTTTAAAATGCTGAAAAAAACAAACTACTAATCCATAATTCTATGCACAGAAAAAATATCTCTGAACACGAAGGAGACATATTTTCTCAAACAAAAAGGGAAAAATATTAATTGCCTACAGAACTGCACTCGAAAAAATATATGTATATATGTTGGACTAGGAAATATTAAATGAAATTGGAAATTCTTTAAGGGGAAGGAATATGCTACCAGTAGAAACTTGGATTTACATAATGAAATGAAAAATGATAAAAACAGAATAAATAAATGTGAAAATAAAACTATTTTTTCGTCCTTCAATTGCTCTAAGAAACTAAGGTGAAGAGAACAGCAGTGTATTATGTGTTTATAGCATATGTAAAAGTAAAATGCTTGATAATAATGGCACAAAGAATGGGAGGAAGGGATTGAGAATAAACTGTCATAAAGTTTACACAACACATGAAGTAGAATATTACTTGAAAATAGAATCTAATTAATTAAAGATGTTTATTGTAAACTCTGTAAATCAGGAAAATAAATAACAATGA